ATCACGACAGTGAACCGGTATATGGCTCACGGAGGATACCGATTGCGACACCGAGCTCCCACGATCATGGCCATCTAGATGGTAGTCTGACCGCCGCCGATTCGGAGACCGGCGGTAGACAGAGGTATGTGATTTCCGTTGTTGAAAAAACTAGACCGTTAGGCTCATTACTTTGCGCAGGTCGTCGTCCTACTCGATTCGAGTCCGCCAAGCGGGGGTCCCAACAGTATAGACAACTTCGCGCGGTCTTGGCAGAGAGCCGCGGCCTTCCCAGAGGTCCTCCCACGGCGGTTGTCGTTGGTCTCTGCGCAACCGCAATCGGACGATGAATTTGCCGTTGCCACTGGCCAAGCATATGTACCAAGAAGCTTCCCATCCTGGGGTCGGCACTCGGACGTGGACCGGCCTCTGCTTCAGGACTCGGACTCGGACCAGGATGATGGAGACTCACGAGCGCCTGGATCTCCCAGGAGGGCACTACCTAGTGCTGGGCTGCTTGCTTCGTCGTTTGATAGAGCTTTTGCGACATCGTATGGCACCATCTCCTCACGGATGAGTGATTCCACGCGGAGGAATGCGATTCAATTCCACCAAGAGCAGCATCCCCATGTGCATGTGGATGGGACTGAAGATTTGGATGCGGGCCCATTACTTGTCAAGCATGTCCAACAGGAAGATGGCACCCAGGTGAATATCATCGTTGGGCAATCTACCCTTCCGCAGACCATCTTCAACTCGGTCAATGTGTTGATTGGTATCGGCTTGTTGAGTCTTCCGTTGGCGATGAAGCATGCCGGGTGGGGGTTGGGATTGGTATTTCTTGTCTTCTCGGCAGTTACCACTTCCTATACAGCTAAGGTGCTGGCTAAATGTCTGGATGTCGACCAGACCGTTGTGACGTATGCCGATCTTGCTTATATCAGTTTCGGGCAACATGCCCGTTTAGTCACAAGTTTCCTCTTCTGCTTGGAACTTTTAGGAGCATGTGTGGCGCTGGTTGTGCTCTTTTCAGACAGTTTATATGCCCTGGTGCCAGGACTGAGCATCCTCCAATGGAAGATCGTGTGTGGAGTTGTGCTTCTTCCGCTCAACTTCCTACCCCTACGATTCCTGAGTATTACCAGCATATTGGGTATAATTTCGTGCACATCAAGTAAGTCCTCTTCCGAGCCGTGCTGATAGATGGAACTGACATTCGAAAGTCGTGATACTCATTTGCATCGATGGCTTCATTAAGCCAGATGCACCGGGCTCCTTGCGGCAGCCAGCTAAGACATTCCTCTTCCCTGAAAACTGGGCTACCGTCCCTCTGAGTTTCGGTCTTATTATGTGTGAGTGAAGGACAGAAAGGAATTGTGATCATGAGGCTAACTTGTTGAAAAGCACCTTGGGGTGGTCACGGCGTCTTCCCTAACATCTACAGAGATATGAGGCATCCTCAGAAATACGGGAAGAGTCTTCGGGTGACCTATCTGTTTACAGTAAGAACATAAAGTCCCAGGATGAAGTTCAATTCTAACGAGTTGACAGTTTATTTTGGACTGCTCAATGGCGATCATTGGTTGGCTAATGTTTGGCGATGGCGTCCGCGACGAAATCACTGCGAACATTCTCACGGCCACCAGTTACCCACAGGCCCTATCGGTTTGCATTGTAGTTTTCATCTCAATCATCCCCCTCACGAAAGTGCCCTTGAAGTGAGTCTAACGTCTTCACTACTTCTCGGACATTGCTGACAAGTATATAGTGCTCGGCCTCTTGTGGCCACAATGGAAGTTCTTTGTGGACTCGGAGGGGGCCATGTTCTTGCTGAAAACAGCTCAGGAACACGGCAAAAGATCGCACGGGCAATGGTGCGCGTTTTTATAGTGGCCATGATTGTTGTTTTGGCGGTCATCTTCCCGGCTTTCGACCGTATCATGGCTTTCTTGGGGTCATTCTTGTGCTTCACGATCTGTATCATCTTCCCTCTTGCATTTCATCTCAAGATCTTTGGAAAAGAGATCGGTCGAGGCGAGTACATCCTTGATTGGATTCTGCTCATCGTCTCCTCGATATTGGCAGCCGTGGGTACTGTCTTCGCCTTCTTACCGCAAGACATGCTCTCTGCAAAGTAGTTTCCACTTGCAGCATTACACGGAGTATAATAGCATTTTTTTTTCGCGCAGATAATCACTTTTTGTTGAGAATGACGGCGAAATTGTTTCTTGTTTTGCCAGACCTCAACTCTTCCTTCTTAAAAGCCTTAGGCGAGTAGGTACCAGTGTGTTCCCAGAGATGGAAGACCAGCTTTGAAGTCCGCTTGCTTTGCGTTAGACGGAAGCCCAGGCAAGCCATGATTTCCCCTAATCTTCCCTCGTTGAGGTAGCGCGAGTTGTCCACGCATGCGATAGGCAATACTAGAAAGAGACTGGGAACAAGTTCAATAGGGCATTTTGACGTCAAGAACTTGACACAACGCTTGAGCATTTCACCGCGTCCCGTAGCATCAGGAACATAGTTGAGCACCAATGACAGACTGATCATGTCGAAACGTTCATCATCACTGGAGGGCAACGGTCGTCCCATGAAATCTTGCTTGAGAATCCCCGGCTCTTGGGAATTCAAATCGATCCGCGTGACATCCAAAGCCGGGTTCGTAGAGCAGGCGTTTTTGGTGCTCAAAGCTCCGACTTCAAGGACCCGGAGCTTTGGAATGTCTTTGTTCCATTCCTTGAGTTGCGGCTTGATCCAGTCGATGAGCACTTTGCTCGAATCTCCACCGCGGTCCATCGACTGGCCTAGCTTACTGGCGATCTGATAACTTTCCAGACCGCCATTAGCTTGGATTTGAGCGTCGATGCTGCTCACTCGGGCTTCGTCCCCGGCGGCTAGAGCTTGAGCCCGGACTTTGAGAAGCCGATGATGAGATCGGATTAGAGTGCGGGTAGCCTTGGCTGAAAGAGCAGCGTCCTTGGATTTGACAATGCGAGGGCGACTATGCGACAACAACAGCGGCCTCTTGGATCGTTTTTGGGGAGCCATGCTTTAATGATCGCGAGGAGTCAGAAAATTAGGATAATAGATTAAGATATCAAGAATACTTTGGTTCTTCAGATCCCTTTGAGGGACGAATATACAAAAAGCAGAGGAGGTCACTGGCATGTGAAGAAAAGCTGTTCAAGAAAATGAGCCAAATACGACGTCAATTCTGATTGGACGAAAAAGTAACCGTACTGTACGACTGTGACTGGAAAATACCAAAAATACCAGACCCAGCGGGCTGCAGGTCACCTGACCCACACACAGCACTAGGGTTTTCGCTAAGCGAAGACCACTCCAAATCCGTTCGACTTTTGACACTGCGATAATCCATCATCGACAGCGACCGACGACAGCCATGGCCCCCTCCGACAACAAGACCGGTATGTTCCAATAACTATGCGCTCTTCCTATTGCGATCGCCGCCTTGCCAATTGTGAATTCGCCGTGTGCACGTGGAGGACGATATTCGAATTCAAAAAAGTTCGATATTTGGAGATCACCTCGCAAAGAGCTAGAGACGCCAGGACATATCGCAGAACAAATCTGCATCACAATATGCCTACCGATCTCAGAATCTGCGACTCCGCTTCAGAATCCTCGACCTACTGCAACCACACCGGCAAATTCACAAATGGCAATCCACGGACGAACTTTTGGGGATTTTTTTTTAGTCCACTTCGCTAACGAAATATTCTCTACAGGCAAGAACAAGGCCAACGCCGCCGCCAAGGCGGTTGCCAAGGGCGCTTCGGTACGTAGCAAAAGATGAAGCAGACCAAAGAAATCCTTTTGGAGCCTATCGCTAACGCGGTTGTGGCAACAGCTTCACAAGTCCCGCAAGGTCCGCACCTCGGCCAGCTTCCACCGCCCCAAGACTCTCCAGCTGTCGCGGTCCCCCAAGTACCCCCGCGTGTCCGTCAACCACGGCCCCGCTCTGGACTTCAACAAGATTGTTCTGTACCCCTTGAACACCGAGAGCGCCATGAAGAAGATCGAGGAGAACAACACCCTCGTCTTCATTGTCAACGTCAAGTCCAACAAGCGCCAGATTAAGCAGGCTCTTAAGAAGCTGTATGATGTTGACACCGTCAAGATCAACACTCTTATCCGGTATGGTCTACTGTTTTTGATATATATGAATCAAGATTAACATATAATCTTTAGCCCCGACGGAACCAAGAAGGCCTTCGCCCGTCTTACTCCCGATGTCGATGCCCTTGACATTGCTGCCACCAAGTTGGCCATTGTCTAAGCGGGGAATGCTCGAAAAAGATTTCTTAGGGTTTTGGCGAACTTTGTTTTACACTGCGGTGATGCTAAAATACCAGCCGGGCTGAATGATCAAAAAGAACATAACTTGTGAAAGTGAAATGCACGATTCCAAAAGAATCGCCGGACTTGTCGGTCCTGTAATGGCTAAGACATGTTCCAGACCACGTTGTAGTGTACTGTTGTAGATTTGTGTAGCGTATATGGCCTAATGGTCTTGTAGTGCATCGAGACAAGAGCCAAGAGCCAACTTTGCCAATCTTACACATCTGCTTTTTACAAGGTTGGACCTTTGCAGTTAAACCGGTTCCATTATTTGCAAGTCATACCCAGTCCACATGTAATGATTCTTCAACATATGTAACCTAGTCTATATTGCATTTTCTCACAACTCTTCCTATAGTCTAGGGAGATGGTAGCGTCGATGATACACTTCTCTACAAACAACATCCCCATAAATCCGACATATATTGTACAAGACAACATGGTTCAGTTCATAAATCGACACTCTAGTATACAAGTGATGGTTCCACAATCCGTCTATCCATCCATAAATTCCTAAAGAAAAACCCATCCAACCGCCATCCAAGCAAAAAAACGAGCATGACAGGTTCCAACCTGACCAGTCTTCATAAAAGTGATTGGCATCCATAGACATGCATCCATCCAGACAGCGATCATAGCAGAAACCGAGAACACACAGGTAAACGCTTAGTGGCCGGGGCCGCCGCGCATGTTGTCCAGCTTCGAGAGGATAGCCAGACTGGTATCCATCCACCGGTCAACGCAGTTCTGTGCGCATGACTCCTCAGACTTATCGAGGGTGCCGGAGGTGATCTTGCTGGTGATGCACTTTTCCCAGCACACTTCGTTCAGGTGGTGGACAGCTAGAAAGGGATTGATGTTAGCTATGGGTTTGATTCCAGGTGGAAAATATTAAGCGCTAGACTCGACTCAAAATCCAGGGTATAGAAATCATCAAGTATAGATCTCTTATACGTCCGGATAGAAAGATGGAGATGGACAACTCACTCTGCTGAATGTTGGACTTCTGAGCCTCGTTGGTCAGGACCTGGTTGAGCTCCTTCTTGTCGCTGTCGGTGAGCTTGGTGAGATCGAGCTGTTGTTCCATAATGGCGGTATAGTATATGAGATGCGAGTAGCAATTGAAGTGGAATGGGATACGGGGAATGGGAAATAACAGCTGGACGGTAGCTGGACGGATGTCCGCAATTCAAAATCAAAGGCGGTGGGGTGTGGCACAAAAATGACGCGCAGTTTTCCCTATCGATAGCAACTTGCGTCCTTCGTTTCAAAGTTCTCATTTTAAGAGGAAAAAAAGCACCCTGTCGATACACTGTTAGATCGAAGTACGATCGCTTGGAATATCCGCATCACATTTGTCTCATCATCCTCGTCTCATCTGTAATATATCGCCCGCCATGCCTCCGATTCGCACTGCCCGCAATCGCAAACCGCCTCCCGCCGGCTTCGACGATCTCGAAGACACACTGCTGGAATTCAGCAACAAAATGAAGGATGCGGAAAACGCATCGCACGAAGGAAAGAAGAAATACGAGGTCCTCTGGCCCATATTCCAGATCAGTCATCAACGTACGACTTACTTCTCTCCCCTCCTCTCCCCTCCTCTCCGCGACATGGAGAAATTAGATACGGTTTCGCTGACTTATTGCTACCCCTCTTATTAGGCTCACGATACATCTATGAACTTTACTACGAGAAAGAAGCGATCTCGAAGGAACTATACGATTTCCTGCTCAAGAACAAGTATGCCGATGCCAACTTGATTGCCAAGTGGAAAAAGCAGGGCTACGAGAAGGTGAGTAGTTTGCGATTCGAGGGACTTTTATTCAGGAAGTGGACTAAACTAACTGATTCCCCTAGCTGTGTTGTCTGCGCTGTGTCCAAACGAAAGAGACTAATTTCAATTCCACGTGTATCTGTCGAGTGCCCAAGGCTCAGCTCAAGGAGGATCAGACGATTCAGTGTGTCAGCTGTGGCTGCAACGGCTGTGGAAGCAGCGATTAAAAAGGAGGCTGGGGTTGGTCGATGACTGGAGGGCTTCAATTTGGCTGGGGACCTCGGGAGGTAGTGGTGAATTGAGGTTGTCCACTACACGCATCCATTGGATTGGGCGTTTCGGTACTATGCATTTCTGTTTCTGTGTTTAATTCTTCTTTAATTACTCTATTGGATCCATTCATCGGGTCAATCATATACCCTCGGCTTGGATGGCTCATGGAACAGTTTGATAAGCAGACAAATAACGACTTTCAATTGCTAACTACATACATTATATCAAGAACGCCTTCAATGCGTATTCCAGTAGTTTCCCATAAAGATAGCCCCAACCCTGATATCCAAATCATAAAAACCATCGCTTGCATGTACATCTTAGCATCGTCATTAATGTCATAACCAGGCCATCCCGGGCTCAGTGGAGGAAATGTCAGAACCGGCTCCATCAGCGCAGCCCAAAAACTCCTAAATAAAACACCCGCCCACAGGACCTTGGAAACATCGTTGAGAACCAACTCCAGGTACAATCCAAAATTCAAGAAACAAAGGTTGCGGGGCGACAAAAGCAGGAGGGCAATAAAGGGACAGTGAGGAGAATAATGCAAGAATCAACAATAAAAGGCAAATCGAACAAGGTGCGTCTCGCAGAGATCTCGACCTGTAAACAAAAAAAGAAAGTACAAATTATGAACTTAAGAGCGCCTTAAAACAAAGTCGTATTGGGGCGGTGACCCAATTGTGGTCGATGAAGCGCCCTGGGCTTCAGAGTGTCGTCCTTGCTCACGCCTCCAATCTTTTGGAAGCCCTGCAAGAGATCAACACCATCGACTTCACCGGGGCTGTCATTGCTCTCATCAAAGAGATGGAACGAGAAGAAATCTTCCTGGCCAGCGTCTCCAAAGCGGCTCGGGTCTGGAAGCTTAGATGGCGACTCGGGGAAAATTGCGGACTTGGAGCGCGACAACGAGGGCATACCCAAACGGGTATTGATATTTACCGAAGTGATGTCCCCAAGAACAGTCGTACCACTGTCGTTTCGCGGGCGTTTGACTGAGCGCTTCTCGGGAGACCCATAGGATACCTGTGCTGATCCAGGATCCGCAAAAACATCAAAAGAGGTATGGAAATGATCATGAGGAGTATAGGTCTCGTCCTGAAGATTGAAAGCCGGGCTCCAAGGAAGGGCATCTTCAGAAAGGCCCAAATGCTTAATAGGCGAGTTGACCATTTGCTGGATCTTCCGGCGATGGTTTCGCAGATTGGTATTGGGAGAGACAGATGGTGGCGGCCTGGCAGGCTTCTTGAACTTGATGATAGGCGTCAATGGAGGCGGCTGCATGCTCACATACTGACTGCGAAGAGGCGAAGAACCGATCGGGGGGTTGGGGTTTTTGCGGACCACTGGTTGACCAGGGCTGATATCGTGAGATGAGCTGCGCATGCGCGCGATCTCTTCCTCAGCACGGCCGCGCTTGATGCGTGGAGGCTCGATATCCAAATCAGATGTCAAGATATGCCCAGCCTTGTTAGGCCTGAGAGCGGATGACTCCAACGACGAGAAATAACCACTGTCATTCATAGTGATCGACTTGCGCTTGCGCGGGCGAGGCGCGGGGGTAGGGCCAGAGTGAGTGGGGGTTGGAGGGGTACCCTGACGGGCGAATCGGGGAGGAGCGATTGGAGGAGATGACCGGATGGTCTGCGGAGGGGAGGAACGAGGTGGTGCGCGGACCGGAGGAGCAGGAACAACTTCGTCCGCATCATCCTGAAGAGCAGGGTCAGACGCAGGTAATGTTGCATCTGAAGACAAGTCATCTGGAGCCGGTCTGGGGGCAGGCACGTGATGATGTGGCGCGTGATAAGCGGGCTGTGGCGGTACCATCCATGTTGTGGTGCTTGCGGTTTGCGACTGAGGTATAAGATCTCTCTGAGGAGCAGCAGGAAGAGGAAGGCTAGACATTGTGGCACGGCGCACTTGTTTGTCTTTAAGAAATTGGGCTTCCATGCCGGGCTCAATGGCCCAGTAATTACCCTTACCAGGGTCATCCTTGGGTCGCTCTTGCTTAATGAATGCCTTGTTGAGACTGAGATTGTGTCGGATGCTATTCTGCCAACCGGGGTCGCTGTTCTTGTAGTATGTGAAGGTATCGGAGATCCACTTATAAATTTGCGCTAGCGTCAGGCGCCGGTTATTGGCGCGCAGAATTGACATTCCAATCAAGGTAGCATAGCTGTATGGAGGCTTGGTGCCATCATCCTCCACTGGTGGCATGTCGTGGGGTTCGGGTAGATAAGCAGCCGGCGTTTCGCCACGCTTGTGTTTCTTGTTGGATCGCTCCTTGAGAGGCGCAGCCTCCATGAGTGTGCGCTTCATTGGAAGTTTAGATTCATACGACGGCTCTGGGAAGTCCGCGAAACTGTCATTGGATGGCTCTTCTGACAGGTTTTCTTTTGATGATTCAGGATTGACGCTGGAGAATGTGGTGAAGAGGGCAGAATGTGGCATAGAGGTTGTAGAGTAGATGGGGAACGGCGCTTTCTTGGCTGGGGAATCGGTGGTAAACATGGGGGGAGTAGGAGCAGATATGGGAATGAAACCGAGTTTTCCGTGGCGCGAGTGCGAGCCCTGGGGATGGACTCCTTTTGTCGGCGAGGGCCTGTGGGGACCCGAAGGCGGATAGGAAGATGAGTTCTGAATGGGCTGGAGTGGTAGCGGTGAGGGTTGAAGACGGGGCTGCGATCTGATGATCTCCTGGGCTGATGGGGCTAGCACTGAGGAATAGTGTGCGCCCGTAGAACGCGTCGATCCCATAACCTAAATGATAGGGCACCAAGTTGCAATATCACCAATCACCAGAGGGACCATATGACGCGTAAACAGAGTTGGGGGAGAGCGCGACTGTTGAAAACAAGGCCCCCGGCCCAGTTTGCGACAACGAGCGAGCCGTGTCTAGGTGTGACGAGACTGTGCAGAGAATTCCAATTGGACCAATGGTACTCCGTAGATCGAGGAAGCCAATAACCTCAGGCCGTCATGCAGCTTAGACAAGTTGGGCCACAAGGCGCTAAGGCGTCACACTTCCGGGGCACGAATCAAGCCACTGATAACCGATGAAAATGGATGAGATGTGTGATTTGAGATGAGATAACCAATAACCAGATATGGTACGGACTGCTGACGCTGAGGATAGAGGATAGAGAGGACAGAGAAGAGAAGAATACAGGGAAGTACAGGAAAAAAAGAGTAGAGTAAGACTTGGAAGAGTAAGCCGGGTTTCCTTGGGAAGAAAGAATGGGGCTCTGTGACAAGTAAGAGATATCGTTCAGAATTTCTCTCACTTTCCTTGTTCACCCTTGGAAGACACTAAATCATTATTATAGAATTCTAGAAATGTTCAATTTTTCCTTCAGCGAAGAAGAAAGGCGGGGGGAGGAGGAGGAGAGGGAGATCATGGAGTGCGATAGTGCGATGATACCAGTCACGTATGGTCATTCTCTAGACGCGTCACGCGTTTTACTATGGGAGGTGGGGCATATCGGGATGGTATTATTCGTATTATCAATTCATATCTTACCAAAGGGGGTCCCCTCCCTTGCTCACATTTTCTAGCGCCGATCTGATCCACCGAGGATGAACGGAAGTATGTCAGGTTTGCATTATTGCTTGGATTATTGAATAGTATATGTTGTATAGTAGTATATTGGAAGCATATAGTGTACAGTATATCTATCTTTAGATCTTGCCAATACGCTGTCTACAATATACAGAATATACGGAGTGTACTCCGTACTCCGGTATACATCTAGCCCTACAAGTACACGTAGTATCACACCACCAATCTAGACCGAGACACTGTCAATCCAGCATTGGCACCCCAATTGGTCCGGGCATCCCGGTATGTGGAAGTGTTGATGTAACTCTGAAACGCTCGCTACCTTTCACCCCTTGTTTATCTGCTGTCATAGATCTCCTGACGCCCTTGACTAGTGGCCAATTGCTCTCGGGTGCGTCGAGGGCCAATCAATCTTCCAGGCCTGCATCGTACAACGCATGTGCTGCACTCTTGTCTGCAGGTGCCGGAACCTAATAATCCAAACCTACACA